CAAAATGTATTCAGAGCTGATTAAATGACGGCCAACATGCAGCATTCAGAGCAGCCTTCTCCTGCTGCCTGAACCTCCACTGGATTATCAGCGTTCATCAGAAATGCTTCAGCGTTCCGGTCCAGCACTGTAACCTGAGAGCTTGTTGTTTATCAAGCATTTTGACCCCCCAGACACAAAATCACCCTCTGCAAACATTTTTCAGACGAGAGCAAATCAGCAGCAACCTGCTTCACTTTAAGCAGCACAGGTTAACATTTTTATTCTACGATTATGATGAGAGCAGAGCTTCAGGTTTTAGGAGGTAGTGTTGCAGAACTGCTAATAATTTAACTGTTGCAAGTAAAAAAAGCACATTTTGTAAATGAAAATTTCATTTAAGAAAGCTGGAAATTGAACATTTGACAGTATCACTGAAGATGTTTTATCGCTCGCTTCTATCTCCCCTTTGTTTCATCTTTTCTCTTTTTATTTTCTGTTTTTCCATTCCTGTAAAAAGAGAAATTGAAATTTTGAAGAAAAAAAGATTTTAAAATTTTGTTCTATGAAAATAGGTGTTCACTCCTTTTCTTTGGATTTGTTCTCAAAATATTTTATTATTTCAAATTCATTTTTCACATTCTATTCTTTAATAGATGTTCTATGGGTCTGCTGGACGTTAGCAAAAAACATTTTTACTGGTCGAGCATATGAGTTTTATATTGAGCTTGAAGTTAGGAAAATAATCTTAAGACTCAATCGGGAATAAATCTGAGAAAATGTGTTTTTTTTTGTTTTGCAACAATAATGGAACAAAATTCACTCCATAGAATGTTAAAGCCCAAAACTGAAGGTTGATTAAACCTGCTGAGACAACAAGATCTGACCAGGAGATATAGTAAGTCTGGCTTACCACAAAACACCTCCATGTCAGAGAAGAACCGCAAACACATAAAAAGCTCACCAATCAGAAGCAACGCTCCCCGACAGCAGCCTGGAGCTAAACATCAGGACCCTGATTAAGGCTAAAAAAGCATGACAGCCCAATCGTTCTCACATAAACTTTAATGGAGTTCAGTGTTTAGTAATATTACACCCGTCTGTCACACGTGAAGCGTTTCTGTCAGTCCTGCCGTGGCTTGCCGAAGTATGTGCATTTCAACATAACATATCACATAACCCTGATGAAC